ACCGGTCAAGGGTCTGGCTGGCTGTCCCTTATCCTAGGTATCGACTATTGCTCGTGAATAATTGCTGGAGGATCGAGGGCAGAACGAGGGAAGAGTGGACGCCATTCCCCATCAGGAAGTTAAGTCTGTACGTCTCCACACAGTGTTTATCCCAAGGTGGGAAAAGGGCACTTCATCCGCTACCCGGACGGATACCCGAGCGAGTCGAGGAAAAGAATGCAGGGTAAATGAGGGAATCAATGTTCAATGTATTGTGTGCCGGGCTGCAGTCTGCATATACGTACTAAGTTATCCCTACTGCTACCTGTTCCTCCAGGTGCATGCGTGCGGGCTAAGCTACTGGGTTATTTCGCGTTCGCCATCGAACTTAACATCCTTGCCCGTCGTCTGTCAATGAGCAGAGGCCACCAACATGTTTGGGAGATCCGAAATTGACATGCGGATGTCTCGAGGCATGGCCAGATTGCCTGCTTCACTAACACCAGAATCTCCACGTTGCCCCCGTCTCCCAGGATCATGAGCAGAAGCTGAATTGGCCCACTGGATCGGTCTTTTGGATCAAACGAACTCGGACTCCGGAGCGCGCAACAGAAAAGTGCGTGTTTGGTGTCGAGGCAGGTGGGACAAGGTCTGCTCCGTGGCCCGTTCATCATTGGGCCCGTTTCTTGTCGATTGCTTGTGGGTGGACAATTTGTTGTTCTGCAGCATCTCGCAGCAGTACGACTTCATACTAGACAAGACGAGCAAGGCATACGCTTGAAAGCCACACGAGATGAGCAGCAGCAGCAGCACAACATCGTGCAGACGACGGATAATGTACTTCTCGTTCGACGTCAGCGATTTCCTTCCCCTGTTGCTTGCGAGCATCGCGGCAACAGCCACGGGCACACGGGTTGGCAAGCAGATGCCTCACACTCGGCATCGGCGTCAGTCAGCAAATGCCAGAGTCAGATCCAGGTTCCGGGGAGGACTGGCGAGCTTTTGCCGATCGAAGAACGCCTCCCCTTACCCTACCACTCCTTCCCTGCAATTCCCCAGTCATAAAGTACCAGGTCTGTGTCGAACGGTGAACCCAGTTGAGCCGGGCCTATTCCGCGCACGTGACAGTCCGACCCCCACCCCGGTCCTTGAACTTTGTCAGAGAAAACGGAGGCTCTTGCTGTTTGGTGCGCCTGATTTCACTCACCACACTGCCTCCGGTATTCTGTCCCTCCTTGCACCGCGTGTGGCTGCTGGCTGCTGACCTTCAACGACCCTGCATACTCCACCCCTCCAAGCCGCTCTGCCCGGTGAGGTGCACTCGGGGAGTCGGGACTGCAACTGACACGGCATTTCGTTTCGTTTCGTTCGACAAATTATCTGACCTCAACCGTCTTCCCTACCGACGTGTTGACGGCCGACCCTCTTCCTTGCACCCTCGCAAGCCCATAATCCGTACGTACTCGTTCGCATCCCGCCAAACTTGTCCGGAGAACGTTGGAGACCGTGCCTGCGTAGTGAGTTTGCAACGCCTCGAGCCGTGGTTCACACCCTCATCATGCTCAATCCGCAACCTGGGACACATGGGACAGGTGCTGCTTTCGGCCTCTGCGCAATATGAAGGGATGATTCGCAACAAGCAAGTTCAAAGGGGCAAGCGATGCAGTCTAGCCTTGCGCTCGAACCATGCCCTGAGCCCAAGTCAAGGTCGTTTTCGAATTCAGTGTCATGGGCACCACCGGTGTTCGTGTCGCCTGCCAGTCACTAATTTGACGTGAACCATATTCCGAGAGGCCATCTGTATGTCAATTAAGCCGGGCGAGTCGCATGAACCAAATCTTGCAGTCTCTCGCGGGCTCGCAGTTATCCGCAATTATCCTTGGCCGTCTAGCGGCCAAAAACTAAGTTCGGGGGAGTCTCGTTCGGCCCCCGTGGCGAATTATCGTTACCACATTTCCCTCTTTCGTGCCTGGCGTACTAGGAATTTGGTCCAGAAGGACAAGTCGGTCGAAGGCATACCATCTTGCCAGCGTTTCTGTCTTGTTTCTCAGCGGCAGCCCAACCATGTGGTCCCCGAGATCCTGCAATTCTCCAATGCGCATGCAAAACGTCTTCGGCCAGAGGACCACATTCGATGCGCAGACGCGACTTGGAGCTCTAGAGTCACATTGAGGATGACTATGGCCATAACGAAAGCTATTTCCAACCACAAGAAAGCGAAACAGACACATACTGTCAGTAGGAGTCAGCAGAGCACACTGGTCGTAGTGGCCTCACAATGTCGAATGCAAAAACTGAAAATATGTACAGGCAACAACAGTCTTTGGACGCGTTACTTTTGAACATCGTATCGGGTACGGACAGCGCGTCACCTTCATCTTATACTCGGAAGTTCATCACAATGTAGCTGGATCTTGTCCAAGTGTTTATAGAACCCCGCGAAGCATCGCCGTCCGCTGACGATTCGATAATTTCTGCTCAGCAATGACGCTCTTGACGTCTTTGCTCGTCCCGTTTCCTGTTCCAATATGGTTAGTGGCCGATCTCACGAGCAAAGACGTCAGCGCCTATCGGCCGAACCACGTTTTGCGGTTCTGACGAGTCAACCTTGGCGTTCTGCCCTGTCAAACGTCTTTTGACTCCAAGCTAGAGATCTTTGGGAAGCGAGGGGAAGGGCTAGCAAGGTGTGCACACTCTCATCCACGAGAACTTGCTGCTAGCGGCTTCGGACTTCGAGGATGCCCTGGAACGGTGAGGCCAGCAAAACCTCAGTTTTTTCGTCGTCGTACTACCTATTCTAAGCTGTGAGTCGGCCGTTCTCTCTCGCTCTCTCTCTCTCTCTCTCTCTCACACACATACACATCAAAGGCAGCCGACAAATGACTCTTCGGCGACTTTACCGCGCTATCTGGGTAAGCCTTCACAAGAACGACGAAGTGGCATTGAGCTTCCGGTCGTTTAGAAACGCTGCCGCCTCCATACATCGCCCACGTGACGAAGCACGTCCTGTCACCCCCGCTGCCTAGGTACGAATAGAGCCCGCTCCAAAAAGCTATGTGCTCCAAGCTTCAGGAGCCCCTCTCCCCTCAGCGTTCCGCCTGCCCCGGTGAGAGATCCCGTTCACCATATCACAAAGCCTTGGCTCGGCCTTGGCTCGGCCTTCGCCTTCCGGCTTGCGGAGGTAACACAGCCGCGAGAGAAAGGCCGGCTAGCAGGCTGGTCCCAAGTCTACATTTTGTATTTTGACGAACGTGATTGTGCTGGCTGGACAGGGGCGTTCTTTTAGCGTTGGGGGAAGAGGGGCCGGCCCATGGGTGGTGCTGGACTAGAGCTAGACGCGTTCTTTCATGAAGCTGCTCCGCGCGATTCGCGTCGCGTCGAGGTTTCCTAAACCAAGCCCACGCTGATCTAGTTATTCTGGACGTCTTCCGCATATTAGCTAGATCAAGCCGGTACGGCTAACTCGGGACTATTGAAGTGGTGCATTTCTGAGACAGAAAGGCAAAGGACTTGGAAGCCGCTTCCTTGGTTATGCTCACCTTTGGGGAAGACATCAGATTAATTTATACTCATAATTCACTACTGCTTTAGTTGCTTTACGACTTAGTCAGAAGCAGTGCCACTCCTCGTCACGAAAAGTCAAGTTTCACCGACTTGGACCTGGGACCCTGCCATCGAGAGCAATCATTGCGGTCACTTAGCATGGCCTGTCACCTATTCCGCTTACTTTTGCAGCATGGTTTGATCCTGGACCAGGCAGTAAGGATCAAGCGGCCTAGGGCAGCAACGCACCTTCACCTGGTATTCGTCCCCAGACTGTTATCATAATACCAATATCCATTAGAAACCCATGAGAAGCGCGGCCCAGGTGCGGTCCAGACTCCAGGGAGACGTGATAATCCAAACTAGATTTACCGTAATCCCTCGTTACCAACGTCGGTCTTTGAGTTCCCCTATAGTTCGCCTCGGGTTCACTGTCGAAGTCGAAAACACCGCGGATCGCGTGTGCCATAGGAGAGGCTTCGCGGCACGGCGAACCGATTAGATTCCGCCATGGGCTTACGCTGAAGGCCTCTTATCTGTCATTTTTCATTTTGTCCTCGATGGTCTACTTAGACTGTCCCCTTGGAGGCTCGATATAGTTCGATTTCGCACGGGACGTACCCGTCATACATGTGCTCGGTACTCGGCGGTGCCTTACAGAAGAACATTCTTGACTAGGCCAAGTTGGAGGAAACGCCAGAATTTAGAGATCTGAAACAGTTATGAGTGGAAAGACTTAATAGTACTCCAGCAAGTGCAATAGTCTTGTTGGCGCTCCAATAGGATGTCTCCTTTCATCTACTGGAAAAGCCCCGACTGTGCAGATTCAAGTGGGATCAAAGTCAAATCTGGAACCTTCCCGGTAACCTTATTCGTATGCCTTCGGTATATCCCCCATATCCGTGCAAAGAACCGAGGAACCCAGGCACTCGGTTGACCAAAGAAATGGCACACTGAGGCAGCTACCTACTTTTTCCTTGATATCGGATACTTATTATTGAATCTCGTTATTATTCAAAGAGTTTCAATTTATAATATTAGTATCTTAAGAGTTTAAGTTTTTTCTTTTATAATTTTTCATAGGTTTGAATAATCTACGTTCTTTTTTGCTATTCTGTGTTGAGCTGCCTCTATCTGTGCTGTTTTTCCTGACAACCGCGTGCCAGGGTAGTCGACCAGTGGATTTGATTAGACAGGGTTGAGCTTAATGAATCGTACGAGGGACTCTACGACACGAATGTGACATAGGTTTTTGCCTTATCACGTTGCGTCCTGATATTGTCACCTGGCACACTTGCACCCCCAAACATGCATCATGCCGCATTCTCCTCAAATGCAACCTGCTATCTGGAGTCGAGAGCCCAAGTGTGCCCGACCAACACAAGTCTAATTTACATTCTGCTCAGAGGTCGTGTCTAAAGTCGGGGTTCTCCTTATCCGTCAAATCAGCAAACGCCTTCAAGTGCTCAATCTTCTCGTCATTGGCTACGACCACCCACCCCTGCGGCCCCGCCCTTCTCTTCGACCTCCTCGACCGCGAGGCTCGCCGGGCCCGCTGCGGCGGTGGTCTTGCGCTTGTCCATGTTGTGGCGGGCAAAGAGGAAGCGCAGTAGGACGGGGAAGAGGTTGAAGAGGACGTGAAGGCAGAAATGGGTGGTGAAACCCTTGCGGTAGCGCGTCGTGTCGGCGGCCTGGAAGATCTGGGGCGCCGTCATGTTGCCGGCGGCCCAGCCGATAAAGGTCATGGCTAGCGCCGTCGACTTCTTGGACTGCCCTGTGACGTTGCGCGAGATGAGGGAGAAGATGAGTTTGCCCTCGGCGAGGTAGAACTATGTGCCGTAGAAGGCCAGCAGGAGGCCGATGCGGTTGCTGGCGGAGGGGGGAATGCTGAAGATGATAGCCGTGCCGATGATGGCGGGGCTGGTTCTCAATGTCAGATTGCTATGAAATCCCATCCTTTCTAGTTGACATTGCCCATGCCTGTGAGCGAGAAGAGCCAACCTCGCAGGTTTCACGCCTTACTTGGTGGTTGTTTGGCTATTACTTACGTGCATGACCCAAACAGTCTGCCTGGACCAGGTGGCCAAGGTCGCACTGCCAACAATGGCCGATATCCACCGTGGGCAATGATTGACAACTGCGTCTGCAGGTACGTGAAGCCGAACTCGGTACCGCTCTGAATGACGACGCGGTCCTTTTCGTTTCGGGGCGTCGTGATTGAGCTCTGGCCGGGGCGGCGGCGGTTCAGCTGAGGCTGAATGTCGGACTCGGTCAGAGCCATGCCG